TTTGTATTAGCCCTTAAACTTGCAAAGAGTCTGTTATGCTTCATGCTTGTCCCTGAAATCTGGAGTGCACCTCAGGCTGTTGACTTATGCGGGTAACTTTCATACCTCTTGTACTTTGTTTCTCAAATCATGCGCTGCTGTTAGCTCTTAACCACCACAAATACTTGTTGCTTGTAAATCATAGTACAATATAGTGCGTTCTGTAGTGGTCACTTTTAAAGTAGTATGGTGCTCCATCTGAATTGGAGTGATGGAATTGAAGTGACATAAGGAATAGGAGTTACCAAAGCAGACAGCTGGGCTCTGGACTGACGTGGGGGAAGCCAGGCGTTGAAGTCAGAGGAGATGGACAGGACAATGTAAGGAAAGAGGAAAGGATAAAAGATGAAAAGGACATGGAAAACATGCGCTATGATCTAATCGGCTACTGGATAATGCAGCTGTGAAAGGAAGGAAAACAAGCATTTACAGATTATTTTCAGCACTGTTACTGAAGTGTAGTAAGTATCTCCTCTGGATTGTGTGGCATACAACATGGGATTAGGCTTGTTTGACCAAGAAGTAGTGTGTCAGAAAATACCAAGTATGTACTGTGGTTCGTTTCTGACATGCTAAGCATGTGCACAGGTATTTCCTCTTTTCCATGAAATTCCAGTCAAGCATAAGTTTGATTTATTTTGTTCAGGAATACTGTGTTCACTTGTTGGAGCACCACAACGAAATTGCAAATATTTCAGAATACAGTTTGACTTTCACAACTGATAAAGACAAATGTGTAGTTAAGAAAGCTATCTCACTTTCAGTGAAGTATAGGTAAATAAGAAAAAATTGACATTCACAGCAAGCCTCACCATGATGTAGAGCTTTCCTGTGGAGATATTACTCGTGGAAAACTATATAATAACATTAGAATATCCTGTGTTCTTAGAGCACTACTATTTGCTGTCAGCCTTGAAAGGATGTATGTTTCAGCCAGTGCTCTTGAAACCCTGGCAGTGGTAACTGGTTCCTTCATTACTTGAATCTAATTAATAAACAACGTTTTCCCAGTATATTCACTGAAAATCTTGTTTTTCGTTGTTGGAATTACCTGTAGCACAAATATCTGTCCGCAGATAAACGGAAGCATTACTGTGGCGTAAGGTAGGTTCAGAGCATACGGCATGTAACTTACAGCAGCAGCCTGTGTATGTGGTCTGTGCTGAGAGTGATGAGCAACATCCAGTATCAATAGGCCTGTATACATATTTTGCAATATTGAGGGGGGAAAAAAAAAATCAAATATCTCTGACAAGATCAGAATAATCTGGATGCTAGCATGCAGGGAATATTTTTCACTTTCTACTCATTTTTTTGTCCACATCGTTTACCTCCCTGTGGAGTAGAAGGTGAGGAATTGCTCTCAGTTGCGCACAGGCTCTAGGACAAAGAGCAGGAATCATTTGGGATCCCTCTCCTGCCCTAACTGTTAGGACCCTGTTAATATAGCATAATTGCTACTTGATTTTACTGCCTTAACTCGATGTTGCCTCACACATGGTGGCTCTTCTATGTTTCCACACTTGGGAAAGAGATGTCTCCCCAGACAGACTTGGGGAGTATATTTTAGCCCCTTTAGATACATTTTTTTGGGGAGAGCTGAATGTAATCCCTGGGTGTTGCAGACTCACAGTTGTTTCCTATACTTGGGTAAAAACTATGAAGGAGAGGAGGTGAGCCTTAAGAAAAACAGGTTTTTTGTGTTGTCTCTCCCCTGTTGAAGCAGAGAATCTGCAAGGAGCATGGTGTCTCCTTTCCCTGGCACTTCATGGTTTCATAATGCTCAGCTGAAGTTGGTTTGAACTAACAAGAAGGATGATACATTATGAATTAGTATGGTGTGACATGTCAGCCTGCAGTTTTGGTATGGTTTCGTAGTCTGTACTGTTATAATTGATAATTTTTGGTGTTGCTATACCACTGTTTACTCTGATAACCTGGAAAAAGGAGTGTAGCACAAGGTAAGCACACAGGTGGGAAGCATCTCAGAGTAAGAAGTTCCTAAAACTTTCAGCAAAGCTGAGGTCTTTGTTTCTGTAATTTCTGAGGCAATCCAAAGTTAATTTTCTTCATTTGCATGGTGTCCTGTGGGTATCTGCTTTTAGGTCTTGCTGGTAGTAGGTTTTCCTGTGTTGTATCTTGAGTAAGGAGTGCTTAAGATGCTGCTTGGGGCATTCAGAACAGGGAAGGTACAGGTGAAGAAGTATCTATCTAGAGGTGTGCGTGGCTTTCAGTGGTCATATGTGGAAAGTGCTTGTGTGCTTAACTTCAATATATGGTCAGAGGGTGAAGTTCCCTGAGGTCTGAGTGGATTTAGTAGCTTGTGCAAGGGGAGAGCCTTGCTTCTGCTGCTTCTGTTTCTTTTGTTTCTGTGCTCATCTGACCTGTTGATGAGCCAGTTCTGCTAACAATAGGCAGTAACAACAAAACCAAACGTAGCACAAGTAAAGACTTTACAGCTGATCTTATGAACCAAATTACCTCACCATGTAAGTCAGGATAAAAGGAGTGAGTACAAACTGTATGACTGATTAAAGGGGTGCTGAGGAGCATGCATTAGTGTCAGCAGGCTCTTAAGCTAGTCCAGAGATCTGTGTTGCCCCCAAACTGAAATCCATTAGAAAAATTAAGTGTGAAACAGAGCCGAGATACTAGCTGAACTTACGGGTTCCTACACAATGTGCACTGACTCATGGTGGGTTAATAACTTTTCTTCGTAAAGGTCTTTGCCTTCTCTCTTAAAAGAGAAAATACAAAACGTGACATTAATATAACATAATGTGTTTTAATATCCTCCCTTGGAATATGAGTGCAGCAGTATGGATTCTTAAGCAGTTTTTGGGTTTTTCAGTTTTGTGGATTCTTCAGCAGATTCTTCATGGCTTGCATTCCAGCTATCCCTAGTGTATATGAATGAAAACTGTCTTTATACTCCTGTAATAATTTAAATATTGACTTCCAAATAGAACTCTTGTGGAGGCTCAGCTCTTGGAAGCTGTTGTATGTTAGAGGAGTTCTGCCTATAGTAAGCACTTAGGTGTCTGTGGGTTTCTGTCAATAAAGAGTGAAACTGGACTTTACAAACCAGTCTCTGTATTTGACTGAGATCTCTATTCTGCTGTGATGCTATTTAATTAAAAATCTAATTCTTTTCAGAAGATAATCAATAAACTTGTCAACAAAACTTGTTCAGAGATACTTGTTCAAAATTATTTGCCTCTATACACCTGTTACGGAGGCTTTATTGCATTTTAACAAATGGATGTAAGCTCAAAGTAGTTCTTTGTGGTCAATTTTTTTTTTTTTTGCTCAGATCTTATCTGCCAACACTAGCATAAACTGGTACTCATAGCAGTAAGTACGAACATTCAAGCAGTGTGTATACATACGCAGTAGTTATTGCATGCCTTACGATATTTCCCAAAGTAAAAGTTACTGAGAAAACACCTACTTAGTATACTGCTTTACTGTTCTGTAGTAATGATTGTTGGCGTACTATTTGAGCAAACAGTGTCACATTTAGTTTCACACGAATAGTGGTATTAGAAGGCATAGCTATAAAGGCAAAGTTTAGCTTAGAGCTACCAATGGTCAAGAGACATTTGGAAAAACTGTGTGTATGTATTCTCTGAATGCAGCAGTGTTCAGGTTAAAGCCATGTTTGCATAGTAACTTATTTAGCTGACAAGCATGAACTTTGGTTAAAATTTACTTGTACAACATCCAGACTTAGAAGTGAAAGGAAGCAAATTGTGTTTTGCTTTTTGTATTAGCTGCAAGCTGTAGTTACAGATGTATTTCTTCATACCACCACTTTCTTTTTATAACCTTTGCCTCTTTTCAACCTGTCTTGAATGTCTCTGCTGTTCTCATGACATGGTTTCCTTGTGGTTTTAGTTCTTCTGTGCAGCTTTCAGGCTTTGATTTCGGTCTTTTGAGTGTTGAGAGCAAATGTTCATATGAATGGCAAAGGGCGATTATTTTTATGCTCTCAGGGGCTCTTGTTTCTCTGTACTTAATCCAGCAAAACTGTTATTGCTTATATCTCCTTTTGATTGCTTGCCTTGATTTGCAATATCTGGCTCTGGATGCTGATGACAAACTAAAATTAGCTTGCTTACTGCTGTGGCCCGCGGAGGGGGGGCGTCCAGTTAACTAACGGTTTTCCACAAAGACTCCAATGCATGCGAAGTGATTCGATCTCGGAGGAGGAAGTTCTGAACTGGCTGAGCAGGAAGGGTGTAGCATGTCCTCTAGATTAATAGTCTTTCAGCTGGAGATTTTTAGCCCAGCTATCAATGCCTCAAGGATAGAATAAGTGACACTGAGAATTTAATAGGTTTGTTTCGTGCAATTTGGGTCCAAACTAAAGGATATCCTGTGGTTGGTTTTACCTCTTGGCTCTGAGATTCTGAAATCACTTTCCCTATAATCTTGGTAGTACTGTTTAAGTAACTTTTGTACTTTGATTGCAGTAATACATGTAAGAAAGTATGAAACGGATAGTGAATGATGAAGTTTGAAAAACTGTGAAGGGTACATTAGAAACAAATACTGAGTCATATGTGGAAAAGCTTATGAATGAACTCTCGGAGACGGTGATGTAATATTAAATTTATGCTTATCCATTTACATGTGCTGAGAGAACTTAAAAAGTAATGCTTTATTTCTGTCTGTTACTTATACAAATAATGCATTTCCTTTTTTGTGTTCACAACTGCATGTCAGTGACACTGGGTGTGAAGCCACTGACTTAATTACTTAGCTAGTAGACAACTGACCTTTAGTGGAAGGACCACACTGCAAACTTATTCTCTGTAATTTTGGAAGTTTTTTCCTTAATTTTAATTTGCCAATTTGATAGAATGTGAGGAAGGATGGGTGCTGGTGCTGTTATTTGCAGCATGTGTTGAAGGTACAATCTTTGCAAAGTAATAATTAATTACTCTTTCTTTCTTCAGGAGATACACATAAAAGAACCCATAGAAAAGGAAGTAAATCCTCGCCTATTACCAGGTAACTCTTGTATATTCTATTGTGTAGAAATAAGTAATAAATACTGTTTACATTATTAATTTTTTAAATATTCCCATATCTGCAGCGTATACTCATGGGACATCAGTGTCCCAAGTAGTAAAATAGAGGTTTTAGTGTAGCAACCCACACAGATTAAAATGTTTGAAATATCTGTATCTCCGTGGGTTGTTGAAAAAATTATAAAAATTGAAATTTTTCTAGAGTACAGTATCTTCAGGTAAACATGATGTAGACAACTGTGTATACTTCAATTTGCTCTGTTTCTTAAGATATAAATTTGTGTGTTTTTTTGTTGTTTGGGAGCTGAAGACCAAGAACTAGTGGAAACTTACTTTCTAGTTGCTTTGCTTCTACTATGAGTTACTTAGGCCTTTTGATGCCTCATTCACTCTTAAGATTTTTTTAATTTACAATTCTTTCTTTTTAAAAAAGTCTTTTCCAAGAGCAGGAAAGGTGACATTACTAAGATAAAATACAAGTAAAAGCTTAGAATAAACTAGCATTGGTCTGTTGGGTTTTCTGCACTTTATAGGAAAAGCCAAGAGTGTGTCTGATTATACCTATTAAAAACTGGTTTTACTTTCTTGAAGTTCAGTTTCTGCTAATTTTAAGATTAGAGCTTCATTGGCCATTATTTATGCAAACTTGTGTTTGAGAACTTCAGAATAGCCCTGGGACCTGTAAAATAAGCAACATGTCCAGTCAAAGCTATGAAAAATTAACTATGAGGAACCTATAATAATCAACTGAAATGTTTTGGCATTCTTAGAGTTTAGGAATAAGGAAAATTGGAAGAGTTTTCAACTTGTTTATTGGCTGTATTAATTACTCTTCAGCAGGCTTTTTTAAAGTACACATTCATATGGTTGCTCTTTGCAACTCCACACATTGTTCTCCTACCACTTAGAGTAGGCCATAATACAGGTACCTCTGGTTACAGGATTCCTAAATGTATGCAGTTGAACAGTGTTCAGTCCATCTTGAGTAATGTCAATAACCTGGCAGGTTCTCAGTGTACTGATTCCAGGAACTGCTTCTTAGTCTTTTCATGTAGCAGTGATGAAGTATCTTCAGGCATACAGTGATGAGAAGCTGCCAGGAAGTTAATGCTAAGTTTAAGGTAACAGTTTAAATAATTCAATTATAAATGTCAGTTATGTTGCAAGTCAGTGTTTCTTTTATACAGGTGAACTGCTGCTTTGTGAGGCGAGCACAGTATACAAGTATATACAAGAAGATGGATCAAATCGTGGCACCTATGGGAAACTTATATGCACAAACTTCAAGATTGCTTTCCTTGACGATGATTGTGCTTCAGATGATAATGTAGGCAGACAAGTCTTCTAATTATGACCAAACAGGCTGTGGAGACCTTTAGTGTCTCTGACTAAATAAATCATATCTATCCCTTATAGGGATACAGAATGAGTATAGTTATAAAAAGTTTCAATGGCCACAGACTAATTCTAATCAGTCTGCATCTACTTGGTCTGCACAGATCCTTCTTCAAGCTCTAATGCCTATTTGAATAAAAAAGGTGCAAGCCTGTAAGTGGTCTCTTTCCTTAGACATAGTTTATAACATTATAACTTGTGAGTTGGTAATTTTGTGAAGCTTAAGTTAAGCATGAATTGTTTTGAAAATTAAATCAACAGTTTCTTTAAACCTGATTTCTGACTGCTTATCTAGTAGCAATTGGAAAAGTGTGAATGTCAAACGTGCTTCTAATGTTATATAATGTCCATCTTGACTTGGAGCTATGCAGCAGGATTTCAGGGCTGCACAAGACTGAGTAAGCTGATAATTCAGAGGAAATACTGAATGTATTTGTTTGGCTCAGTAAAGCTCTGAATTACTCCATTCAAAGTCAGGTGTTGACTGCAAAGATTTAAAAACTAGGTACTATTGATCTGGCAAACATTAAAAAAGCTAAAAAGTCCCTAAATCGTAGAAATTAGTTGAATTTTGTTCCCTTTGCTCAAATTGAGCAGTCAGAGGGGAATGGTAATGCCACACCTTTTTTGATATGCTTAAGCATTTGAAATGGTCTGGTCCATTAGGTGATAAAAGTGAGGGAGACACTAGTATATGGCTCCTGAGTGCAAGGTGATCTTGACAGTGAAGAATGAGAAGAATATGATTTGACACACACTGATTGTAGCTGGGAGTTTCTTGAGGTAAAATTTCAGGGAGTTTAAATGTTAAACTAAGGCTTCTGCAGCCAAATACAGATTTTTGGACCTTCTGGAATTAATTGGGACAAAGCTGCAGAGCCCTTTCCACAGATCACATGAGGTTTATGCTGAAGTTGGTAGTGACCATGCTAATTTCTGTTCCATCAGTAACTTTGAGTCTTGGGTTTATAACATGCCAAGGCAACTGTATTTCTCTTAACGGAAGTTCAGTATTAGCCACCTGATTCAGAGTAGTACAGACCTGGAAATAACTTGAATGAGGTTAACTCTGTTCAAAGCTGTCTTCATATAAAATGTAATTTGCTGATGTAGTGCACATCAGCCTTCTGGTAATAATATTTAACATAACAATGCTTAATTGTGGCATCACTCAATTGTAATTTTTAACTCCGAACTCATGGAATGATGAAAACGAAAGGACCCCCAAATAATTTCAGGGTTGGCAGAACAGTAGGTAAGAAAACTGGGTTCTGTGTCTTCATTTTGCCCAGTGATAAATCTGGCTGTTATGTTGGAATATTCTTGGGATTCTTGTTCTGTTAAGAGACTTTTGTACTTCCTGCCAGGTTCCCATAGCAAGGAAATTTGTCATAAAAGGGCTTGGATTATATGAAGTTACTGTATTTCCTGTTTACTGCAATGATTCTAGTTTGAAAAGGGTCTCTCAATAGAACTGCATGCTTTGAAGCTATTTGAAAAGTAAAAATTCTATCTACATTTCAAGCACAGCTGAGACTTAAATAAAACAGAACATTTAATTTGTAAACTATGTCTGTGTAACCTGCATCTGTCTATATTTTAATAACTGTTCTTCAGTGTTCTGCCTTACGCAGCTTGTAAGAATAAGAAGTAATGCTGATATTAAAATAGGTACTGAATACATCCTTTACTTGTGAGAAGATGCTACTGCTTAGTAGTGTGAGATTTCTAAAAACTGTTTTCATGTTCTAGGAGCCACAATTTAAGAATAAGATCATAGGAGAAAATGACATAACCCTGCAGTGTGTAGATCAAATCTATGGAGGTAGGTCAGCTTTCTCGTCATTTAACATGCCTCACACTGTGTCTTACAGTGCTGGTGCTCTTTGTACATGTACATCCTTTTTAGAAAACTGATAAGAGTTGTCACTTGGAAACTAGGATTGTGTAGTCTGTAAAACAGTTGCAGTTATATTTAATAATGAAATGACAAATAAGAGATCTATGAGAATCCTGTCCTATCCCTCAAGCTTGTCAAAGGTATGTTTTGATTAATTATCTTGCTGGGACAGATGAAACAATTCCTTCAAAATGCTGTGATTCAAAGAAAAGAGTGCACTGTGAAAAGTTGCCAAGAGTGGTGCAGGAGGATCTTCCAGTATATCAACTATTTCTATAAATATGGAGGTATTCACTTCATTTGAGCAATAGCACTGCAGAGTAGTACAGGTACCAAATTCCCAAACAATACCTTTTGTTTGTCTAAGGTGACTTTGTCTTGTGAGATTCGTGATGTCTTCAAAATATCAAAGGAGATAAAAAAGGAGGTTTTAATTTACAAGTAAATCACTAAGTGTTTTGCAGCAGATCTTACAGGTGTGCCTATATTGCTGAAAAAGGTAAATGAGAATGAGGCTGGTAATTTGTAAGTAGCGGGAAGGCTTTGTTGAGAACCCTTACTTTGGACTAGTGTTAGAGTATTCGGAGTGTTTGTGAATGGTGGTGTGGATTCGTGAGGGAGAGGACTAGGGGAAGACTAGTGGAGTCTGTTTATGAAATGCTGTTTATTTTTGTACATAATAGCCTAGCTGGTAGCACTTGAAGTTGTGAAATGATACATCCTCAAACAGAAGTGAACAAAGTACTCTCTTGGGGAATTTATGGTGGTTAAAAAACCCCACTTTTTTTAGGAACTTAGAATGATCTCAGTTGTTTAGGGGTTTTCCCTCAGGCAAAACTACTAAATTATATTCTTTATGCATCTCAAAACCTTGAACTTACTACACAGTCAGAATGAGAACAGAAATAATCACTGAGCAGCTGGTTTGCTGCAGGTTCAGTTTCTACCTTGCAGGAAGTAGTTTTGAGTGGGTTTAAAAAAAAAGGTTGAGTGTATTAGCACAAGAGCTTGCCAGAGTATTGTAGGGTCATTGTTTTGACTTGCTAAAAGTTTGGCTTGAAATAGTTTCTTGAGAATTTTGGAATGTCAAGCAGGGATAGCTTCATCAACTGATGGACAGTGGGTTTTTTATATTTACTTAGACTTCTTAATTTTGCAGTTTATGATGAGAAAAAGAAAATTCTAACAGGACAACTGAGAAAATACCCAGAGAAGCTAATTATCTACTGTAAAGACCTTAGAGTATTTCATTTCTGCCTGAGATACACAAAAGAAGAGGAAGTGAAAAGAGTAAGTATAGTAACATAATTTGTTTTTCTTTAAGCTTGGTCTTGGGTTTTTAGTTGTGGGGATGAGGGAAGGATGAAATTCACCCTGAGAATGCCTTAAACTTGAAGTGTTTTCTGATCATTCCCAACTGAGAGAGAAGGTAAGACTTTGATTTCTAGCTAACCTTATGCATTAAACATCATTATGTATAGCAGTTAAAGATCAGGTGCACTGTTGTTTTGAATAAAACTGGAGCTTGAGAGTACTACATGAAATTAGCTTCAGCTCAGGTGAACTTGTAAAGCTGTTCTGTTTGTGAAACAGTTTTATTACGTTTTAGACTTCAGCCTTTTTCATATGAAAGCAGTTATTTTCCTGATAACTTTGGTTCTTTTGACAGGTTAATCTGAACTAGGAGTCTCCTACCTTTATTTAAATAAGAGTAATCTTGGAAGTTGAACAGATACAGTACTTTTCATTAAGCCAAGTAGGTATAGTGTCTTGCAGACAAGAGAAGGCTTTCAGCTGTTTTCAGCTGTTGTGGTTAGAACCTATTGAACAGTCCTGTTTAAAACTTGGAAGAGGCGGTTAAAAAAGAAATCATGTTTTTTACACTGGCAGTCTTAGTCTGTGTTTGGGTGTTAATTTTTGGTCCTTTCCTAGATCGTCAGTGGTATAGTTCATCATAGCCAGACTCCTAAGCTGCTTAAACGCTTGTTTCTGTTCTCTTATGCATCAGCTGCCCCAAACAACACAGGTAAATGTTTTTCTATTTTTGTGTTGTATTTATTGTATACTGTTAGTTTTTTAACCAGTCCAGAACACTTAGTAGCTGAGTTTATGCTCATCTTATGACTCTGCCCTGCTGGCAGATAGCCTCATTTTTCTCAGATTCATTTTTCTCTTGTTATGCATTGTTGGACTTGTTGCTAAAAATCTCCCAATTGTCTACTAGTGGTTTCTGTGTCCCTCAATGGAGTTGCACAGAAATTTTCCAAGCAAGGGTAGCAGCACCAGATTGAAAACTTACTGTGATCAATACATGCAAATGCTTTTCATGTGCTTCTGACTAGAGTGCTGTCATCTAGAAAATATTGTGCTTATTTTATCAGTGTTTTTTCTGTACTATTGCAGTGAACCAAACTTCCTGCCCTAAATTCTTAAATTAATACACTTTCGGTGGCATCTGACAGAAAGTGTTTCCCTTTTTCCTCTTATTTGCAAGCAGTCTGCTTCTTCCAGGCAACTGTGAAAAAAGCATAGGTTTGCACAGCAAGATTCCAGTGGACATCTGACTTCCTCTTGTAGCTAACTTGCTACATAATCTTCCCACTTGATCAAACTTGGCTGACTAATACAGTAAGCTGTGAAATTCAACCTAAGTTGTCAGTGCACTTTGTAGCGTTCAACAGTTCAGATTTCAACTGAAGTAATAGCGCTGTTTTGAATTGTGAAGCTGATTCTTAATGCACCGGGAACACCCATTCCTTTCACAGAGAAAAGTTTTGATGTGTCCAATGTATTAATCGGACACTTACCAAAATATGTCATGGAATTACAGTATCATTGAGGTTAGAAGCTTCTGGAGATCACTTAGTGGTGTTCTTGTCCATCTCCCCATGTTTAGAGTAGGGTTAACTACAGAAGGCTTACCAGGGTCATGTCCAGTTTGGTTTTTAATATCTCAAGGATTGAGGCTCCACAGCCTTTCTGGATAGCCTGTTTTATTATTGGACCGTCCCCATAGTGAAAGAGTTTATTATGTTTAAAAGGGATTTGCTGTAGTTCAGCTTCTGTGCATTGCCTTTTGTCATCACTGGATACCTCTGAGTCTAGGTCAATCTTCTTTCTCCAGGCTGAAATGATCCCAGCTCTCAGTCTCTCCTCATACCAGGTGCTTAAAGACCTTTAATACTCTTAATGGGTGTTCACTGGACTTGGTCACAGAATCACTAGGTTGGAAAGGACCTTCAAGATCATCAAGTTCAACCATTAATCCAGCGCTACCATGTCCCCTAAACCATGTCCTGAAGTGCCACATCCACACGTTTTTTGAACACTTCCAGAAATGGTGACTCCACCACCTTCCTGGGCAGCCTGTTCCAATGCCTGACCACTCTCTCCATAAAGAAATTTTTCCTAATATCCAATTTAAACCTCCCCTGGCGCAACTTGAGGCCATTTCCTCTGGTCCTATCACTAGTTACTTGGGAGAAGAGACCAACACCCTCGTCGCCACAACCCCCTTTCAGGTAGTTGTAGAGAGCGATAAGGTCTCATCTTAACCTCCTCTTCTCCAGACTAAACAAGCAGAGTTCCCTCAGCCACTCCTCATCAGACTTGTTCTCCAGACCCCTCACCAGCTTTGTTGCCCTTCTCTGGACACGCTCCAGCACCTCAATGTCCTTCTTGTAGTGAGGGGCCCAAAACTGAACACAGTATTCGAGGTGTGGCCTCACCAGTGCCGAGTACAGGGGCACAATCACTTCCCTGCTCCTGCTGGCCACACTATTGCTGATACAGGCCAGGATGCTGTTGGCCTTCTTGGCCACCTGGGCACACTGCTGGCTCATGTTCAGCCGGCTGTCAACCAGCACAGGTCCAGCAGGCCTGTGATTGTCTGGTACTGGGGAGCCCAGCACTGGACACAGAACTGCAGGCATGGCCTCAGCAGTGCTGAGCTGAGAACAACGATCACCTCATTCAACCTGTAGGCAATAGTTTTCCTAATGCATCACAAGAATACGTTGTCCACCTTTGCTGCAAGGGCACATTGCTGGCTCAGGTAGTTTCTGCGGGCTTCATCTGTAATTGGTGTTTAATTTGAATTGCAAACATCAGAAAGATTGTGAGCTTTTCCAGGTAGAGACTGAGCAAATGTGGGAGAAGCCTAGTCTTTATAGCAACTTTGAAGTACTGTGCCAGAATTCTTTCATATTTTAATAACTATATGCAATAATAAATGCCTAGGTCTAATTCTTTATGAAGTTGTTACAGTATAAACCGGGTAGACTTTAGAAATAGGGTTTTATGCCTCACATGGTCTTATACTCTTAAAATCTTAACTTCCCCCTTAGAGCTCATAAATAATGTTCTTTTTCCAGCTGTAAATATTTCATCTACCTTATCCTCTTACAGTCGAGAGTTTCATCTTGCCATTGTCTCTTCTGTGGAGCTCTGTTTGGTGTCTCAGTGTTAGCTGATTGTTGCAGGATACTTAATTATGACAAATGTCTAAAACAATTGGCTTGAGTCCATAAATCATATAGTTATTATACAGGATCTGAGGCTAAGTCAACCTGCTGTTGTAACTGTTGCTGAGGTGGCTAAATAGAAATACAGGAAACATTCTTAGTTGAAATGATTAAGACTGAATTGGTGTAATAAATTTTCTGCTCTCATCAAGTGCCTGAAATGCTCCATTCAGTGCAAAACTCCTATCCATGATGAAAGAATCAACTTTAAAAGAAATGCAATATCCGAATTGCAGAAAGGCTTTTGGTATGATTGTTAATTCTACATTTAAGTCTATATTACTAGGTGCCAGTCAGTTGCACTAGTATACAATGATATTTGCTGCACAGCATCCTGGGTTTTAGGCTGGATGTGAGGACAGCCTCAACTGTATGGAAATTCCATAAGAACTGATCAGTTTCTGTAACAGAAACTATTCTTGAAGTTCTTAGTTAAAGCAATATTTGACAGATGATTTGTTAAAGATCAGACAGATGCAGTGTGTTGTACAAAGGCATTTTATCTTTGACTCAAGACTTTCTGTACACAAGAGGTTTTGCATGCTTACCTTAGTGAAAACTAACTACTTCATTTAGGAATGCTTTCATGTTAGCATTCCTGATGGTCTGTAAAGTTAACATTATTGATGTCTGACAGATGGAAGAAACCAAACTGTGATGTTTGATACTCTTGAGGACTGGCGTGGTGAGTTGGAGCGGACCAAAGGGAATGTGAAATACAAAGCAGTGACTACCAATGAAGGCTACAGAGTCTCTGAAAAGTAAGCTTGCCCTGGTTAATAATGAAGTTTGGGTATACATCTCATTAAGATCTTCAAAAATTAGTGTGACCTTTGTTTGTGAGCTCTACACAGTTGTTTAGGATTTTTTTAGGATCTGGTTTCCACTTTGATTTATGGGATACTTTGACTCAGGACCTCAGGAGGTCATCTTACACAACCCCTGCTCAAGCAGGGTTATCATCAACATTAGGACAGGCTACTCAGGACCTTGCTCAGTCAAGCTCTGAATAGCTATAGGTGCGGAGAATACCACCTTAAAATGGAATAGAAAATATGTAGTTCTGGTACCTACGCTTTTGTCATACTTACTGGTTAGGGAGACATTTTTCAGTCCTGTACCTTTACTCTGTTAAAATTTCAAGTTACATGCACTTGAGATTCTGTTTTGGTTGGGGAGGACTGGGTGGCTAAAGAGTAACTGGTTTAAAGTGTATCTGCAAAATGTGGTGATGGAAGGGTAAGTCGCATTGCCTTTAGCGGAAGGTTAGAGATGTACGCTTCTATCCGTTTAGCTAAGTAGTATCTATCGAACCCCTTAGGTTGTGTACAAAGCTTTGTGTACTACTGTTGTTTAATAGTCAAATCCTGAAAGGCTTTACAGGCCTTGGAAACAAACACCAATTTTCAAAGAAGTCTTAACTATTTATTCTAGAGCTGTCTTGAGAGACCCAAGCTCAGCTTAGTTATTTGTTGCTTCTGTGGGCCTTAAATGTAAATAATGTTGGCCGATACTGGAAATTCATGCTGTATTAAATGATATCCTTGAATTGTGATGCAAACAGATTATAAAGCATGGAAACAGGACTAGTTATCTAATAGTACAAGAGTATCTTTTGAAACAACAAAGACTGAGAGAACCAAGGCAGTCTTAACAATCAGTCTTACATTGCAATTAAATGCAGTATTTAACTGCAGCCTTGGAAAGGTAGGGTAATGTTGCAGTAAAAATAATGAACACCTCAGGATTGGAGGAAAATACCTTATCCAGCCAAAAATAGAGGGAGGGTGTTGAGGACAATATAATTATCTATTAGGAAGGATTATTGTAAATGTAAGGGTGAATATATAATTAGCATGTGGGCTAGAACACAAACCATCATCAAAAGGAGCTTGGAGATTGTTCTTTGTTCAGTTTAAGCGCAAGAAACTCTTTTTTGTTATCCTAGGCTGCCTTTGTATTTTGTTGTTCCCATATGCGTTTCTGAAGAGAGTATCTTGAAATATGAAGGCAGAGGCATTCCT